AGAGCTGGCTGACTGACAGTAGACGTGGTCCATGAAGCAAAGGCTTGACGATGACAATTACTCGGAATCTATAGCCTCAAGTTAGTCTCCTATCAAGCTTGAGAATCCGGACTTTGTCGGTCTACTCAGCGAGGCGGGAGTATATGTGCCACCAAAGGGTTGAGGCAGAGTGTGGAAAATAATGCCTCGAGTAGCACAAATGGGCTGGCAGGAGTCAAGTGGAATGCCTGAACCAGGGAGATAGGAGACGGATTCTATGTTGCAAGAGGGAGACTCTGATAGGACGTATGGAAAGAGGATTGCGAAATAATATACCTTCCCAGGACAATGGTAGGGGGATAGGGTGATAAAACCAATGTGGGATGTGAAGAGGTCTCATGAAATTCGCTCAAAAGGGCGCACCATGCCACACTTAAATAAGCAATTAATAAAGTGTGAAAGTGAAGGGTTAATACGAGGATGTAGGATGGGTGAATACCTGAGGACAGGAGAGATAGCTCGTCTCTTCGACGAGTTGTAGTCTGGTGCTAAGAATGGCAAGACTCACTGGCGATGTCGACTACGATGCCGACGAAACGTCTGGGAATGTACCAAGTCTACGGTCCGACCTTGGAAATTATCTTGCACACTATGGACTGCCGGCAAGATGTGTTTCTCCAGGTCTTTCTACCAATTTGACCAAGTTGCAAAAACAAGGCCAAACAACTACTTATAAATATGGTTAAAAAACTTAAAAAAAAACATTATCACTGGTTACATGGCCCTGGTTACAAAGTACATGACTTAGCGCTGTTTACAGATTAATGGCTGGCGGGAGAGAGTGATTGAAAAAGAATCGTCTATTATTTAAGCAGCATTTAGTGCAAGAGATGAGTTTCAGATACATCATGAGTTTTCGCTTACTGTTCAGTCCATAATCGAGAGGATGGGTTAGCTGTTGAACTCTTCTTTTCTAATGCTTGCTGCATAACTAATCCAAATCCAATATTGTGTGCGCTAAACGGCAGAAGTTAGTCTTTCAAATGGCATGTGAAATGATAAGAGAAGACTAACTTATGACACTTGCATTAGGGACTCATTTGATGCTAAAATTGCCATGAAACAGTAAGGAATAAACTATGGGCTTAGTGGTATTCGGGTATTTGGGGTTAGAAAACACCACAAGAACCTCGAGACATGTTCGCAGAGAATAGAGAAACTGATATGCTTACCATATGACCAGATGTCAGACTTGCTGGAGAATGTCTTATCTCCTATGCTTTCGATTGCAAGCCACTTAATTGGCATCCGACCACCGCTCGCATGATACTCGTCGCCTATTTGCTCAAGACACTTGGCCAGGCCGAAATCGGTGATGCGAACCTTTTGAGTCGAGTGAAAGAGAAAGAAGGAAATATTGTTTTACCATTAAAGCCACCAACATGTCTGTGGAGTGTTGAAGAGTGCTCTTAGTGACCAAAAATAAGTCACCCTTTTTGAGGATTGGTTACAACTTTTATTTGAACCGGAGTAAGTAGGCCCTGTTCAAGCCACTAGACTTTGGAATAAATAAAATGGAAAGTTTTACTTTCTGATATAATGTTGTATTCCCCGATTCCTTCCAGCCTACGTTCTTATTAAACTTTCTTTTTTTCTCGAATCAGCCAGCATAAGTCCAAGATCATGACAAATTGGATTTGAGGCAATTTAGTTAAATATAAGATTTTTTCAGAAGCTATAAAGTTGGGCTAAGTAATTCGGGTCCGAAGTGTATCTACCTTTAGTAGGATAATGTTTTAAAGGTATGCTGTAGTTCCGTATAGATATGGAGAATTCTAGCTTTATTTTGAAGAATTCTTGCAGATGAGCAGTTGTTTTTCTAGAGTGATCGTTTGATATTCGTTTTGATCTTTAAAGAACATATAAAATAATATTAATTGAGAGTAAAAAACTTGGGAAATGTTTTATTACATTAGCTCATCATCATCTGTCATCTTTCGAGGAGCCAATATCAATATTAACGGCAAACACATCGCATAATTGTATGCTACTTAAAGTAGCATAATGTGTTTACATTGATTTTGCGATATAGGCATATTCTCTGGCAAAAAGTAATAAATTTATTTATTTAAGTATAAAATTTAAGCTCAGAATATCTGGTAAATATTACGGCAGAAGCCAATTAGGATATTTGGTGGTAATGTTGGAGTACTCATAAGTTTATATTTTAATTTGGAACAAATGCGTTTTTGATATAGCAGTAAGAGCTAATCGATTCAAATATTATAATATAGTTGAAGATATGAAGACTAGGATATTGTGACCTTTTGTATGGTTTCGGTCTTCTTTCGTTGCATAGAAAATGTTTGACCTTGTTTTCGCAACTTTGGCATATTGGCAGGAGGATCTAGAGAAACCCATCTTGTCCGGAGTCCATAGCATGCATGATAATTTCAAGAGTCGGACAGTGGAATGCATCAAGTAATCTACGTCTTCCTGTCAATATGACTAAGTTGCGAAGACAAGGTAAAAAAACTTATATCATAATATACTCTCCTTAAATAAGAAGTAAAATAAATTAAGCCTGCTCAAGGTAAATTAAGAAACGATAATGAAAATTTCCAAAATGAAATAAATGAGCTCTACAGTTTTATTACATTTCACATGGCATTACCTTCCAAAAAGTTTTAATATCTAAATTCAACCTCATTTGAGGTTCAGAATTTCTTAAGGCATTCAAAACTGGTTCACGCGCGTAAACAGATGATACATAATCTTTCTGGCACTTAGCAACGGGTGCCAGGGGATTGCAGAGCAGCTGTGACTTTCAACGCAAGCCAGAACTTTCCCATATAATATTGATTGTTGGTTCGATGAAAACCTTAATTTTTAAAATTATAGCTTCACTTACGTGGGGTACCATTGATAAAAATAACTAGAAACGAAGAGAAACTGGGCTTCGAAGAATCTCCTAAAGAGCTGTAACTTGAGCTGAAGAATCTTCGGCACAAACTTCTTTAAATTTCCCTTGTTCTAAGCTCTCGACTGCTATGCTATTATAACAATTTTATACCGACTTTCATTTCATATGCAAGTGCCTAATGAAGAGATTCGTTGGTTAATTTCACCGGAAGACGATGATTAATTCTTGTTATTCTGCTGCAGTTTTGCCTTAATACAACACACACAGGACATCCCCTCTCGCTTCAAATGAAACCAGAAAAATCTTTTGTCCGTCATATGACGGATATCATCCAGAGCCAAAGCCCATTCTAGCAAAAGTTTCAAGTTTACGCCTAGACAAGAGAAACATGAGGCTCTATCCTACGTGCTATTTATATTCATTATTAAAGGCGAAAATGTAT